TTCCCAGCATGGCATTGAGAGGGTCCAGTCCAACTGCTCCTTGAGTCCCATGCAGTACCTGGCTGATGACAAGACATCTGCTCAGGTGAACAGAAAGAGAACACCATTGTCAGTCTCCTCTGTCTTCATTGTTGACTTGGTCATCATTCATTCTTCCCGCATCTCCCTTGCATCTTCTGGCCATGCTTGGAGAGACACAATATCTACCTTCCCTGCTCTGGGGAAAGTGTAGACCCTTTTCCATACAGTCTTTCCTGTTCCTTCTGATTGTGCTCCCGATGGAAGAAGCCCAAATTCTTACCTTATCTCAGGAAGTGACCAGTGGCAGTTCTAACATGGCTTCTCTGCTGGTTTTCTTCTCAGGTTTCCTTGGCTGAAGGACACAAGTTTGACCGGGATGTGGAACTCTTGATTTATTACAATGAAGTGCACAGCCCCAGTGTAGCCGTGGAGATGGGGATGCAGGACATGAAGCCAGGTATTTTCTGTCTCCCACTTTGGTCCCTTTCTATGATGTAACTCCAAGTTAACCTGGGTTTTTCTACCTCTAAGCAAGATCAGAATATAGTCATTAAGATAATTGACTTTTCACTCTCACATGGAATAACGATTGGGCTTCAGGTGATTATGTCCATAGGCTAATTTGCATAGATTACTAGATAATTAGAGGGAAATACGACTAAATAATTAACAAGAAAATACATAAAACCCCTTATTACCATGTGGCAATGACTGGTCTTACAAAAATGACAAATAAATATAATCTTGTGACTACTTCTCATATGGAAGAATCAGTGATGTCCAAATCTGATGAAGTCTCATGCTTTACATTGTGTTGTGAGTTTACAGTGTTAAATGGTATTGAAACAAATCAGTTTGTTCCAACTGGTTTGAAACAATTAGTGTGCAAATAATAAAGCAAATATTCATTTAGACAATTCTAATATTTACAGTATTTCTTCTCAAATAAATATAGATGTCTATCTGATATGCAGGTGATATTGACTGATATTATAATTATATTATATCCAAATTACTAAGTGATGAAAAATGTAATTCAGTCACTACTTGTGTCATCCCACCCATTATATAATGAGTTATAATGTCATTACTATGATAATGTACAACAAAAACTTTAGATTGAAAAATTTACATAGAAGTTATCCAAATAATGGGATAGGAAAAGTAGCTTTAATTCCTAATATCACTATAAAATAATAATTGGATTAGGAAAATAGCAGTATTATAATCCAGACAATATGCAAATAGTAGTTCTTCTTAGACAAATAATAATTTCACTTTAAGTAATTATGTTTTATTCTTTAGTTCACCACACCTGGATGTAATCTTGCTGCCGGTTCTTTCATTTTTGTCTTAGTAATAATAGAAATGACCAAATTAAACACAGAGTTAATTTTAGGTCTTCTGTGTCCTGTAGAAATTGAACTTTGAGAAATAAAAATCATAAGAATCCAACTCAAACTCTTTCTTTTTGACGTACTTGAATTTTTTATAGACCTAATTTAGCTTTTCAGTGAGTTTTGTTTCTTATGTACATCTAGTGTTCTTCACTTAGAACATTTCCTTATAAGTGCATTTATCTTTTATTAAAGCTGGCACAGCCCACATGGGTGTTTTATCTCTTTGACTTTTCTGACCCATTCTGCACTGGGGTGCAGGGATCATCACACAACCCAACAAAGTTGCTGCAAATCTTTATTTGCAGGTTGGATATATAGAAGTTCCTTGGGGGCCAGTTGTATTCACAGTGTGACAGCTGGGCTTGGGCTTATGCTGCTGTAATTGTCAAAACCCTGTGAGGACTTTACGAAGAAGCTGACTTTCCATACCCAATCACAGCACATATAACATTTTCAGTATTTTTAAATGTGACTTCACACTGACCACTTTTCTCTGAGGTCACTGAAGGGATTCCCAGCTTCCCTGGGATTCTTGTAACTTTCTCATCTCCCTGTAGCTCTATTCTCTATCTGCTGCTGTTGATTTTTTTGGTCTCCATTTTGGAAAATCATGGATTATTTAAATTCAGACTTGGTCTTCAGTCAGGAATGTTTTAATCCATGATATAGAACCTCATGATGCTGTGACTTACTATGTAATAGCTGCCATCTCCTTGGTCTCATGAAGATTTTTCATCTCTTTTCTGCTATAAGGTGTCCAGGCAGGCTATCACGGTCATATCTTAGTCTTGATAATCTCTTCCATCTTTGATTTCTAATCCTTGTTTCCCAGAGCATGTATTTTGCCAGGCATATTTCTGTTCCCCTACTCTTTGGAAACACAAGCGAAGCTTAAGAGGCAGTTTAAGTAAAACTCTTAATATGATAGTAACATAAGACATAGTACTATAAACTAAATAATATGACAAACTTAAAGTGTTAAATTGCACAAATTTAAAAGAAGAAAAATGTATAAAATTACAATTTTAACATCTCAGTGTCAGTTAAGCCCTACCCTGAAATCTGTAAGCATATTGTATCACCTAACCTTACAATAATCCTATAGTAGGAATTACCTCCTTGGTATTTTAGGTGAGGAAACTGCGGCTAAGAAATAGAAGTGCTCCTTTATAAACAAGGAAGTTATGATTAATGAAGAGAAATCATTTCATTTGAAAGAACTAGCACACATCATACATGCAGAGCTGACTACTGTCTACATGACCTTGTTCTAAACAGTGTGGATATTTATGACCATCATTCTCATTGGTGTCTGGCTTCTCAGAAGAGTGTTTGTGTCATGATACCAATCTATCTCTCAGGGTGGGGAGATATCTATTTTACACATTCGAAATTTGCTGCTCTTACCTGAGCTGTTTAGCTAATGTTGTATATCTGTATCTGGATCATATTTACAATGTTTTCACCCAGTTTTCCCGGACAACTTCTCTGAGAAGCCTGCTCTTGGAATTTGTCATTTTAAGAATTATGCACATGAACACCCTTTTCCCTCAAGGTTCCAATTGATGTAATCAGTGACCCATTTGATCACTTTCTCATTAATAAGATTTGAAGGGATTTACCTCTGTTAGGAATCTCCACTGTGCCTTCATCTCATGCTAAGATAATGTATCCTATTCAGTTGTTAATATGTCTAAAATTTTCACAACAGATTCTTCTATGCTGTATTCTATTATCCTGTTTCCCTTCCTCTTCTCTCTGTTTTGCTTCTTTCTCTTTTATACTGACAAGACACATTCACTCCTGTGCACACAGAACAGAAAGAACAAACTGGGGGCTTTATATTTGAGTTTTCTCAGTTCTCTATCGTATCTATGATTGGTTTTGAACTCTAGGACATCTGAGTTTCCTTGTAACTTACAGGGTTCTTCTCCTTTCTGTACAGACAGTTTAATGGGAGCTCCTTCTGCAATGGTGAGCTTTTATCCAGATGTCCCAGAAAAGGAGGTCACAAAGGCCTGTGGAGAATTTGTGTTCCTCATGGACCGCTCTGGAAGTATGGAATCCCCGATGAACAACCAGAAGGATTCTCAGTTACGTATAGAAGCTGCCAAGGTAAAGCCAGATTCTTCATTGTTCAACAGTGCCATGTGAGGATGGTTGGGAAGGGCAGGAGTAGGACCCATTTATAGCTGTAGGTTTGTTCTCCATCTGAGCAATGACAAGCATGACCACTCTAATGTCAGTTTTGAAATAAAAGCTGACATCAGATTGTGACTTTTTGTACCACTAGGAACTAGATTGAGGTCTGGACTTTGGTAAAGCTCTAACTCACTCCATTTTCTTGTCTTCTCTGACCCTCAGGAAACTCTGTTGCTGTTGCTGAAGAGTTTGCCTATGGGTTGTTATTTTAACATCTACGGATTTGGATCTTCCTTTGAAAAATTCTTTCCGTAAGTTTCTGGGAAGACCATGAACTATGAAAGAATGTATTTTAAAGAAGAGCTTTATTGGTAAAATGGCTATTGTGGTGTTTATCTGAACATTGGGGTTGTTGGGAAAAAATTTTGTGATAGGATTTTCACAGTGTCAAGGTGTGCTACTGTTACATGACTAGATGTGATTGTTTCTCTAAGGGAGAGTGTGAAGTACACTCAGGAAACAATGGAGGAGGCAGTGGAAAGAGTTAAGGACCTAGAAGCAAACTTAGGGGGAACTGAAATCTTGAAACCACTACGCAAGATTTACAAGGCACCCTCTATTCCTGGCCATCCCTTACAGGTAAGCTTTGGAATTGAGCTAAGATAGTGAAATTTTCCACTAACCTGGGTGCCAGTTCTCCCATATATAACTGAGTAAACAATGTGTAGAATTGAGTTATCTACCTTACAGTGAAGATAAATAAGACCAGAGGCAGTGGTCTTCCTCTTTTCCGTGGGGTAGACAGTCAGCCCTCTTTGGGGGTACCACAAAAATTTCAGATGAAAGCAGCATGGGTGGGGTGTGAAAATTCCCAGGTATCTGAAGAATCTCTATGCCAGCATGGAGCACTAGGGTCCCACTCCTGGATGCAAAAGCTTCAAGGAGTGAAAGCAGTTGTTATCTCCGAGGGCCAATGCTCTTGTCTTCAAATGAGTGCAACAGAAGCTTGATGAATGCATTATTTCTTTTACAGCTGTTTGTCTTTACTGATGGAGAAGTTAGTGACACATTTACTGTCATTAATGAAGTTCTGTTTAACAGCAAAAAGCACAGGTATGAGGCGAGTTTGGTTTCTCTTGTGTTGACTAGACACAATGGCTACCACATATGACTTTCTCCACATGATACTAGTGGTTCCCATGAGTCTGAAGGCACAGAGTGACTCAGATTTTTCTTTCAATTAATCGGCTGATCACTTATTTTCTAAAAAATTTAAAAGTAGTTTTCTACTTAACTTTGATACCACAAAGTCATTGTTCCTTATTTTACTGAAGCTCTGAAAGATATATTGATTTATCTTTTCATTATAAAGGTATGGACAATTAAAGATAGAAAGTTACTCAAGTCATCATTATCTGGGCAGATGAGCGGTCACAGCATGCACCCTGTGTATCCACCACAGGTCTAGAGCTAGGCAGTTACCAGTCTTTTCTTGCTCTCTTTCCACCACTCACCAGTTTAAACCTGGCTCAAGTATAATTCTTGTAGATTATGAGAATTTCTTTTGCATTGCTATCATACTGAGTTTCAAGAGATGTGTCTCTCTGTGGGTACATCACTTTTAAACTTTGTCTCACTAGTTTGTTGAGATGTAGCCTTAATATGCATACAGCCATTGTCAAGTTACTTTAGTGTAAGTTTTCACATGAAGTGGATCATTATAGTTCATATTGTTGTTCATAATAATGGGCTTTCTTTGGGTTTTGAAGTGATTGTATTATATAGCATAAATAATCTACTGGAGATTTAATTAATATGGAAGTATATATATGCATGCTGAGGGACCTGAGCATCTTAGTTGTTGTCATTCACATGAGGTTCTCAAACTCAACTCTACAGAAAGCAAAGCACAGACATATGAACATATAAATCCACACAAACCATTTTTCAGTAGATGGCATTCTCCAATATCTGTAGAATGGCAGTTTCACAAGCTGTACTAATTTAACACAGATCAACTTTACAAATTGAAGTTGCTTCATTTTCTAACCAAATCAATCATTTCTGTTGTTCAACCTTTGTCAGTTTTGTGAATGGGACCATTGGTGCTTCAAGCTTTTGATTTTTATTTTCCCTGTATCTCTACTTCATACACCCTTTAACATTGGATATCCATTAGGTAGTCATTTGCATCTCTTTGCCACTGATATTCCCTTATGTAGCAGATTTTTTTTTACTGATATGTATTTCATTTTAGGTTTTGAATATGAATATGTTGATTATTTTCTTACACTGTAGCTTACATTTTCACTATCAAATTGTTTTTTTTTTTTTTTAGATAGGCTTCTCTATGCAGTCCTGAGTGGTCTGTAACTCCTTTACTAAACCAGGCTGGCCTCAATGGATATGGGTCTACCTGCCTCTGCCTCTAGAGTGGTGGTATTGTAGTCATGTGACGTGAGTAACTGTCATTTCAATTTCTAGTCTCTGAAGTTTCTTTTTAATATTGCTACTTTTGTGTGCCCAGTTAGGGTATTTTTCTATTTTAGCTATACAGGTATTTTACTTTTTCCTTTCAGGGGACTTTTCTGTCTATATGTATTGGTTCTTTGACAAATTCATGTATGTAGGTGATACATTCTGCTTACAATTTCCTTTTGTAAGGAAATTTCACCCTTTTCTATCTCTCCCCTCCTCCTTCAGTCTTTCCTTTTCTGTTCTTTTCACAAGTTTCTGACGTTTTATTTCATACTGTTACCTATTTTGTGTAATCAGGGCCATCTCAATGATTACTTACTGGACTGGGGTTATCCATTGGATCCTTGTTTACTTCCCAGTGGGTGTGCAACTGAGGCCATGATTCCCTTTTTCTCTGAATCTATCAATAGGGGTTATTCCTCTAACAGGCAAATATTGCATCAGTGAGTAGATTTTTGCCTGACAGATGACATTATAGTTTGTGGGTCGCACAGGTGGTTAAGAACATTGACATTTTCTCTTCCTCATCAGCCTGTATGGCATCTCTTGATTTCTCTGTGCCATACCACCAAGGTGTGTTGTAGCTTCAGTGTTAGCCGTATCATATCATCTCTATTTGGAAGGCACCCAGGAGTGTTTGCTAGGTCCTATGTTTTTTCTGAGCCTCCTTGACCAACACATAATAAACAGCTATCCCTTTCCTGGCACTGGGATTCTGTTTGATAACTCATAGTGTTGGTAAACCGAGTTACTCGGAATGATAAAGAAAGAGCTGCTCCAATATGTAATCAGGACCCACAGAAGCAGGAAGGAACAGTCTCTGATGGACTGAACCCCTGAACTGCTGTGTAAAAACTTGTTTATTGATTGTCACACAAAAGGTATTTTTAAAGTAAAACAAGTTCCTCATACGAAACCCAGATCTACCCTATGTGTTTCTTGAATGAATGCATCACCCTTGCAATTTTAGATCTTATTGTGCACTGTTTGCAATATTCAATAATACAAAACATCCCAGGTTTGCCAGGAATGTTTTGTGACTAAAGCCATGCAGAAGCTGCGAATCTCTTTCAGAAAAAAGGATCTGGAAGGCACAGAAAACAATCACTGTTTTCTACAATGATTTCTTCAAGGTCCAAGTGCTTCCAGAAAACAACCACTTCATTCTGTTGTTTCCCATAGATACAATGACTCTATCAATTTTCCTGGTCCACCATAGTTTCAGGGAGAATCCTTTTCCAAACATTAGATTGTCTTCCTTCCAATTTTAAGTTAGGAAATGCTGCACAGTACATTTCATATCACCTCCAGTACTGATCTCTACCCCAGGCCTCTCTTCATGTTTTATTTTGAGACACAGTGTAAGTTATTTTGACTAACTGTGAGCTCTGGATCCCAGAGAGGATCAGAACTTTCAGTCTTCCTGGTTTAGGATCCCAAGTACCTGGATTTTATCTGCCTGCCTCTTCAATTTCTTTTAATGTATCTAAATTATATTCAAGTTTACTTTCCTTACATTAGGAGGAAAGATCTATCTTTGGGTAGATCGGTTACTGGTTATTTCCTCTCTGAAATTTTGTGCTTTGGCTTTCATGGTGAATATCTAGACATGTGCAGATTGTTTCTGAGTCATCTGTTCCATTCTATTGGCTAATTGATACAAATGTATTTCAGGATCACACCATAAAAATTCATTGTGTTCCAGGTATTTCTTGATTTCTAGTGCACTAGAGCATTCACTCCACTCATTTTCAAGATTTATTTTCTTTCTTGGTCTCTCCCTCCTTCCCTCCATCCCTTCCTTAATTTCTAGTTATTTTCTCACTAGGCAGCCCCTGACTGGACTGGAACTCATGCATATCAAGCTGTCCTCAAACTCGTACAGATCTGCCTTCCTCTGCATCCTGAGTGCTGGGATTAGAGGTGTGAATCACCATACCACTCTTTCAAAATTGTTTTAGTTATACCTTTGCTTTGTAGTTTTCTTTTAGAGTTAGATTGTCAATTCTCAATTATATTAATTGTGTATATCTTGTGTTGGAATGAATAAAAACAAGATAAGGAATTATGCACTCATCTTCCAAAGATAAAGACATTCTGTTAAATAACCACAATAAAACAACCTCACTCATTGCATTACATTTAATGTTCAGATAAGATCATATCAAAATGGAATCTACATTTCAATTTTTTCCATAAAATATTTTATAGCTAGTTGTTTATTTTTCTTTATGTACCATGAAATAATTATGAGAGAGTATTTCATTCCTGTTTTACTGTTAATCTTTTTGCACGAATATTTCCATTGTATTTTGAAGGAGAAGTAGAATTATTTTTTATAGAATCCCAATTTACTTTGTATTTAAATAATATGGGATATTTTCAACACAAATATTTCAAAATCACCAATGTGCCAGGCGATGTTACTTTGATCACTTAAGGTCAGCATCTGGTAAACTGATTTTCATTGTGTGCATGGGTTCTTAACTAATGTTTACCCAGTATCCTTAAATTTTCACACACAATTACCCCAAATCAGTAATTACTTCTATAGAAACAAAATGATGACTGACTCCTCCTCATCATCATTGTTCTCCTCCTCCTCCTCTTCTTGTCCTTCTTCTGCTATGGTGCTAGGGATTTGATGTAGAGTCCTGCACAGCAGTACTCAGAGCTGCATCTCCCGTCCACATAGTGGTTTGAAAACTCATTGTTTGCAGATCACTGACAGGAGAACATTTCATATTCTTTTTTCCCTCCTCTCCCTCTCTGTTTATCCATGTGTACTCTCAGGTTCTTGGATTACTTCCTGATATATCTAGCTACATAATTTGTTTCAGTGTTTAGGGCGCTCATATTTTTATGTTCTTTTATACTTTGTAACAAATTTGTTCTTTATGTTTTATAGAATGTTTTATACTTACCCATAGATTTCGACCTTGGACTAAGTCATTTCCATAAGCAGTCTTTCTCCTTAGATTAAACAAACACCAGCATGTAAGTTATGCCTGGCTCCTGACTAAGGCATGTGATTGATTATAATCTATTTAAGAGAAAGAATGACAAACTTTAAACAAAATATTACAAATTTTATTGATTCCCCTATTTCTAAGACAATCATATAGGATTTTTTCTCTTAATGTCTTCCTCCCTGCTGAGAACCCCACTTTTAACAATTTTAGTAATTCCCTCATTTCCTTATCATAGCTTCTGTATACTGTAGTGGGGAAAGAACTTACAGCGGATTTTGATAATTCTGGGTCCTAGATCTTTATCTGCAAGGTGAAACAGAGTCTTTTTTCATAGAAGACTCATGGTATTAAATTTTAATACAGAAAGCATTTATTACATCCAAAAGAGATAAAATATGATTTCTAAATTGTATCATTGCACTGACTTCAACGTAAGTACCTCATCTCCTCATGATTTTTTTGACCGGTGCATGTTAACTGATAATTCTGCTATGTAGAACCCACCTCTAACCATCATTTCACTGTTGCAGATGCTTCTCATTTGGTATTGGAGAAGGAGCCTCCACCAGTTTAATCAAAGGCATTGCCCGGGTAACAGGGGGCACCGCAGAGTTTATCATAGGCAAGGACAGGATGCAGACCAAGGTGAGATCTGGGGGACCATCCAGAGTAGCAAGAGCAGAGTGAGTAGAGGAAAGGAAGGGACCCTGCTGCAAAGGCAGACGGTCCACTCTCCTGGAGGACACACTTTCATGAGTCTCAGGCCATACACTCAGTAACTCTACTTAATGCTTTGTTAAAAATGGTTCCATTCTAATATATAAAGACCTGCATCTGACTGTGGCAACTGGAAATCCAGAGAGGAGATAAAGAGATTGTGACTTTTGATTTCAAGACCAGAGAGGAAGAGGGTGAAAACTTTGACTGCTCTGTTTGAGATTACAGTCTGTCATTTCAGTAGATTGGGTAGAAACCACACATGCAAAACACACAAAACCAATGATGTAGGTTGTGTGCGTGGTTACCATTTCTTTTCTGCAGAGGTCTCTTTGCTTAAATTTTACCTCATTCAAATCTACACTTTTACATCTCTCAAATGTAACTTTAGTATACATACAAGTAGAGAAAGAATTGCATTTCTCACTTAGCAATAGTAAATAGACCTGGCATGTATTCCATCCTTGGTCTTGATAAATACTCAAATGATGACTATCATATTATCTTTCTTATAAATCGTTCTGGCTCTTTTCTTCTCCAACAGGCTCTTGGGTCTCTGAAATTAGCTCTGAATAGTTCAGTGGATGACATTTCTCTGAGCTGGGATTTGCCTCCTGGTCTGTCAGCTTGCATACTTTCTCCAGAGCAGACTGCCATTTGTAGGGGTCAGAGGTTAATCATCTATGCCCAGCTAACTGGGACTATGCCTGTGAGTACCTTTTATTGTTTATTTCTTTCCAGAGTGAGACACTGTATCAGCAGATTTATTATCAGTGAGGATTGCTTTGGAAGACAGCAACATATGTTCACGTGCCAGGCACTCAGCCTCCCATCCTCTCCTTCATACCATGTCTATATTATCCTGTACTACCTGATCCTTAGTGTGACATTGCATTGGAGCAGAGAAACTTCCCTAGTGCTTGCCACATTCTTGGTTGTGTGTCCATTTTGTCATTCTTGTCCGTCTCTTGTTTGTAGCAAGAAGAGAGCTCAGGAGAAGTGTGCTTCAAGTACACCTTCAAGGGTAGGAGTCTTGAAAACAGGGTGAAATTTTCCTTACAACCCAAGACAAATGCCAGGTAAGAATTCAGCTTGCTTCTCCATCTCCTCCCTTCCCCACCTCTCCCTTCCCTTTCCTTCTTCTTGCCTCTTTCTTTTTCTCTGCATCATGGATGGTGCAGTCACTCCTGTCAATGACCTCCTTTTTCCTCTAAGCTCTTCTCTTCCTCATTTGTTCATCTGAAGTGTTCTCTGCATTCTCTTCTTTCTACAATCACTAGCTTAAAAAGTCTTGGCTACTTGATTTGCAGTTACTTTTCTTTAATTTTTGCCAGTGTCTTCTTTCAGCTTCACTATTCATCGGTTGGCTGCAAAGTCGTTGATCCAGACCAAGGATTTGGGCTTCCATGAGACTTCAGAAAGAGTGAAAAAGGATGTGGCAAGCATCAGCATTCAGTCTGGAGTCCTCAGCTCCTTCACAGCTTTCCTTGCCATAAACAAGGAGCTCAACCAGCCAGTACAGGAGCCGGTCGCTCAAAGGGAGATTCCAAGGCCTGTCATGTCTACATCACACTGTTCATATAAAGTTAAGCTTTGTAAGTTTTATCCCAATTCAAACTTATGCATAATGAGTCTCAGATGTCCAAGCACATCATTTAAACAATGATAAGTTTCAGAATTTTTTAAATTTAAATTTAATTTCTTAATTTTCCTGTGTTTTCTTCATCTTTCAACACCTAGGATTTAAGGCTTCCTTTAAGCTTTCTAGAGAAGTAGATTAAGTCTGACTGGGAGGGAGATTTAATATAGGAATACAGATGGACACAAAGACATATGACAATGCAGACATGGAGCTGGCGGTTTCTCTCCTGCCTGCCAGTTCCCGAATAATCACTCAGCAATTTAAGATTAATTACAAACTCTTTGACCTATTAGCTCAGGTCCCTTGCTAGGTAGCTCTACATATAAATGAACACATTTCTAATAATCAGTGTATCACTGCGTGCCCCAGGGCTTATCAGTAACTCTCTGGCATCTGACTTCTTTGGCAGCTACTGGTATCTCTCTCACCCTGCCCTTTTTCTCCCAGTATCTCTATTTAGATTTCCTGCCTAGCACTATTTTGCCTGGCTCTTGGTTAAATCAGCTTCTTTATTAACTAATGGTAATAAAATATATTCACAACATACATCCCACATCACAGAAGCATCTATAAACATTGAATCTAACTGTTGTTGTTGATAAATAGTCAATGGTCACACAAAGAGCAGATGACTAGACTGCATCTGATAATGTTAGTGGTTTAAAAGAGCATTTAAGAAAATGGTGGGGATCCGAAAGAGCTATAGAAGATTATCATGAAAACAAAAACAGCATCATTTTTGTGGGATGGCTGAAGGTCCATCTTTTTCAGTCCTGGATTAGAGTCCTGGATTTTGTGAATCATTCGTTGCAGGGGTCAGGAACTTTAAATTAAGAATGAAGTGGGTAGAGGGCTGGATTGATTCCTGGTCTAAAATTTTGTCATCTTAATGATTAGAAATTACAGCTATGAGATTGAAGGTACCGATATGTTGTAAGAAGCTGCGGTGGGCTGTGTTCCTACCCAGCTCCGCATGGCTAGATTTACCAGAAATAATTACACGGAAATAAGTATTCTTTTAAACACTGCCTGGCCCATTAGTTCCAGCCTATTATTGGCTAATTCTCACATCTTGCCTTAACCCATTTCTAATAATGTATGTAGCACCACAAGGTGGCTTACCAGGGAAGATCTTAACCTGTGTCTGTGTTGGGTGGGAGAATCATGGTGACTGCCTGACTTGGCTTCCTTCTCCCAGCATTCTGTTCTGCTTACTCTGCCTACCTAATTTTCTGTCCCTATTAAAGAGCCAAGGCAGTTTCTTTATTTAACCAATGAAATCAACACAAAACAGAAGACTCCCACATCACTGATAAGGGTGTTAATTTGTTTGATTAAAATTTCAGAAGGATGAAAAATAAAAGAAAGATTAAAGGAAGGTATCACAGAAGAAAAATAGAAGATTTGGGAACTTAGATAATTTGGGACTTAGAAGATACAACTCAAATCAAAGACCATTTTAAAAAAAACCATGAAACTCTAAGATAAAACACTAGGAATATGAACATTGCATTTTAAAGTAAGATATTTGTGACAAATCAAATAATTTTTATGATACTAAAGAGTTGAGGGCATGGGAGAGGTGTGTTAGAGCCACAGTCACTGGATCTGAGGAAGGTAAGATCTTTGCATTAAGATATAGCATAGGCTACTTACATGAATGATAAAAATTCTTACATTTATGGAAGAGTTTGAAGTGCACTGCAAACCTGTGGTGTGGCTTTGGGGTCCTTTCAGGAGGTGAATTTAGTAGTAGAGCATCGATAGTAGTGAAAACATGTGGAAGGCATCCCAGGTACGAGAGAAAGTATTGAAGGTAAGATGCAACTGTGATGGTTCAGCTCGTGTCAGGGGTTTTGAAAGACTCAGTAGGAATTAGAAGGCTCAGAGGTTGAGTGTCTATATTGGAGGCCACTCAGGAGAATGGCACATTGTGGTTAGTGAGTGAAGCTGATGTGGATAGGAAGAGGGATATCTCCAGTCCTCATACTTTTTAGTCTTTGTTTGTTGCAGTGTGGGATGGATTCTGTAATCTCATTGTACATTTATGTTTTGCAGGTGGCAGGAAAGGCTCAGTCAGGAGAATGTTACAGCAATGTGCAGCAGCTGGTGAGCATCCGTAGAGGTCATGAAGATAAAACTTCTACAGTCTGAGGGGGTTTCATTCTAAGGAAAGTTTTCTCAGAAATGTTTCTTTGTCACAGATCTTAAACTTGGTGAACCCGAATTTGAAAGTCCTAGGAAGAGAAACGCAGAATTCTTTAGCGTGACAGAAAAGTCATATTCTCCCACCAAGAAAAATGACGATAAAGGTGAAATGTTCCTCACATTGTGGTTTTGACATATGGTGGTCACAAACTAACCTTCCATGTTCTTCATCTTGAAGCTTTCTCTACTTGTGGGGTGACTTACTTGAGGCAGCAGGCAGGAAGTGAGATATGACATTGCCATATATTTGCCAGAAATATTCTAGCTTCATTAATCTACAATACAGCACTTAATGCCTTCTAATCTATTGTAACTGAGTGGCCTCTAGTTCTTTGAGTCCCCTTGGCAATTTCTGCCTACACAGTCCACCTGACATCAGGGCCAGACCCCAACCAGACTCTGCTGCCATTCTGTTCAGAACCCAGAGCAACTGGTCACCCATCACAGATTAGAAATAGTCAGTAGACTTGCTGCAGCAATCTCCCTACAGTCTCCTAGTTCAGGAGACTTCCTCAGGTGGATGATGATCCTAGTGAGTCCATAGCTTTCCATGACTTAATTATTTCATTTCTCACAAAGGTTTTGGAGAGAATCTTTTTATGCAACTGATTTCACTCCAAAAGGGAAATGGGTCCTGGGAACTGGATGAGGATCTGACCAAGATCCTGTGCACTAACTTGGAGGACATCATGACTGCAAACCCTGTCAAGGTGAGGCATGAAGTGGAACAAAAAAAAAAAAAAAAGAGTATATTTCATCATGGTAGGAACATAAACAGAGCTGAAATAAGAGTGCAAGTAAACTACTCCATGTACTGGCTTTGTGGGAGTCTAGTTTGGATGCTCACCTTCCTAGACCTGGATGGAGGGGGGAGGACCTTGGACTTCCCACAGGGCAGGGAACCCTGACTTCTCTTTGGACTGGAGAAGGAGGGGGAAGGAAATGGGGGGAGGGGGTGGGAAGTGGGAGGAGGTGAAAATTTGTAGTAGTCATAATAATAATAAAGAAAAAAGAATGCAGGTAATGCAGAAGTGAAATTAATGTGTAATATCTAGAAGATGATATTATTTCTACTTCATATAGACCCTAAAGAACATGGAATTAATGGCCCAGATACAGAATGGCATGATCAAATAGAAAATAAAGTCTTGTCTGGGTTGATAATATACCCATAGGCATAGATACAAATAAATTTTTTTTCACACTGTATCAGACAGATTTTTAAACACTTAATAT